ATCCTGGTTGCGGCCGATGCTTACCCCATGACTAACAAAACTGGAGCAGCGTTAACAAGGTTGGGAAGTTACTGTTAGAGCACACGGTGCAGACACACACCCTCCCCATCTTCCTCCACCATAGTGAAAGGGAAAAGGAAGACAGGCTGTTGTAAGACTGCCTAGTGTATTTGGAAGACTGGTACTACAGAGCAGTGCTACTTGCCAAGTCAACAGCATTTGCTAGTTCAGGGACTTCATTTTGGCTGCCAGGAACTGCTGGCCTGTGTACATGTGTATAGCACATGCGAGGCTTGTGAGGCAACGCAGAGACAACCCCAGCAGCTACAAGGAAGGGGAGAAGGGATGGGGGCGTGCACGCTAGCAGAAGTCCCTGTTGGAGGTGTTGGGCTGTGCTGTTGGACACTGAATGTACATTTATGGCTGCAGGCACAGGAAGCGATCCGCAGGTGTGCATCACTGGCTGCGTGTTCAGGGTGAGCCCGCAGATTGCGGGGAGCACGGAATAAAAGTGTGAGTGTGTGTGCACATGCCTAAGGGTGTCTCCATCTGTGTGCAAACAAACAGAAATGTCTACAAGCGAGGATGTGAGTGTAAGTCTGCAGAAGCACGTGCACAGAGGGAGATGCCTGCAAGTAGTGCAGAGTGTGTAAGGACACGTGTCTAGAGGGGAGGTGTGAAGAGATGCTGTGTGTGTGGAAGCCGCCACACCTGTGTGTAGGCAGCACGCTGGCTGCGTGTGCGGGGAGAGGGGTTTGGGGGAGGGCGGTGAGAGTGGTCTATGTGGGAGCTCTGTGCCGGTCCACAGAGGTAGGCTGGATCTGTGTGTGCAGTGGTGGAAAGCTTTCTAGGGGATCAGATATCTGTCCATAAAAGTGTCTGTGATATGAAAGAGAGTTTTTAAACATGGCTCATAAAAGGGGTCTCAAATGTGCGCTAGAGCTCCTCTGCGAAAAGCGGAAAATACACGGGGGCTGGGAGCGTGTCTCTGCTAGCACGTAGCTGTTGTTTTGTTTGCGATGTGTCTTCGGTTTGATGGGGCGTATGTAGGATTGTGCATGAGCGATGCGTGCGTGGGCTGGGATAGGTGTGCAGCAGCTACGGCTGTGCGCACAAGGGAGGGTGTGCAGGAGAGGACGGCGGGGAGGGCTGAGCAGAGGCAGTCCCGTGGCTCAGGGATTCGAGCACGCACGGCAGGGCTCTGCTCAGAGGGCTTTGCCCGAGCCGCTGTGCTGCAGAGCGTCACTAAATTCAGTGAGGGCGCTTTCTATTTTGGGTGTTTCTCCATACACCTTTGCTCCCGTCTTCCGCCCGGCTGGGCGTCAGGCCCTCCGAACCGTAGCTCTCCCGCACTTGTTGAGGAGCATCGGCAGGAGAAGGAGCGGTTCCCTTGGAAACCTCTGGATGCCCAGCAACAAGTCGCTGGCAGCTGCCATGTGACCAGGTGCATTAATCAGACATGTTGTATGAATCAGGTCAGTTGGGGCCAAAGTCCAGCTCGCTCCCTCTTCGCTTCGTTGCTAATTACCGAGCCGCGAGAGCTGCTCTGAGTAGGGGGTGGAAAACAACTTGAAATAATTAAATAAAACAGTGACCTTTCCTGTTGTGGCTTCTAAGTTCATCCCAGACTTTCTCCACGAGAAAAATCTGTCCAATCCCCTCTTCCACTGAAACGAATCTAGAATGCAAATGAGTGAGGCAGAAGAATCTCCAGAGGGGGAAAAGCTGGCGAGAATGAATCTGCCATAGATGCAGTGAGTTTCCAGGTCTCTTCTCACAATAAGCCGTACATTTCAAATCCATCTTTTGAATGAGTAGCTCAGGCTTGAGACAGTTTGGGCTTGACTCAGGTACACCTCGTGTTCACAACTCAGATCCCTTGGAAAATCAAGTTTCTGAAGTCTCAACTGAAATTGCTGACCAAAATTACTAGTTAGATGGCACAGAGAGGACCTGAGTACAAATTCCTGCCCGATACCTCTAAAAGAAGACGCTACTGCTCTCAGGAAAACAGACAGTGCCTGTACACTTGTTGTCACTTGTGCATTCACCACGGCTGCAAAATGGCTGTTCTTTGTAGATATACAGCTGGAGGGTTTATTCTTCATCATTCCTTGTGGCCCATTTCTTTAACCCCAGTGGGGCCTTTCTCCATTTGACTCAAGAGCAGAGGACTCAAAGGCAAAAGCTGGAGGAAAATGGACGATGAGTTTGTAGCTGCAGCTCTGGGCCAGGGGATAGCAGGGGTTACCACATTAGGACTGAACTGAGAGCAAATTGGGAGAGTCCTGGTGAGCAAATGAGGTAAAGGGAAGATTAAGGCTGAAGAGATCCAGCTGGGGTAATAACAGCTGTAAGCACTGGTCTCAGACCCTTACTCTGTGTTTCTTTTCTAGTAGGATCTTCTGAGGGAATTAGGTACCCAAGCCTCGCTGTCCTCTTGATGTAGATTCTGGAGGGACTTAGGAACCCCTCAGCATTTTCCATAAGGTAACATTTACAGTTTCAGCTGCCGTCCTTTTCACATTTCCCCCAAATTCCTGCTTTGCCTGGATAAAGCCAGAGCAAAGGCTTCCAGATTTGGCTCCTGAATGAAAATCTCTCACAGGCACATGTTCAAGGCCAGGCACTAGCAAGGCTGTAGCGTCTTCTTTTACCCATACACCAGTCTACATTCTTCATGCTGTGACTAATGCATTGCAAGGTCATTGGGTACTGCTCAGTCTCCATCTCCTCCTTCAAGAGATCAGCGTTTGAGCCTCCCAGGGTATTCACTGATTCATGTCGAACACAGGTACATTCTGCTCAAAACCACCTTTTATCTTAGGCAACAACAGAAATGTTGCAGTGGCTGGTCAGACTCTCGGCTGATGTAAGCCAGCCAAAGGATTTGGCCCATCATCCCCAGTGGTACTGAGGACCAGGAAAAAAAAAGAAATGTTGGAAAGAGAGCACCTGGCTTTATTCTAATCATGCTGTAATTTGAATAGCATCCAATGCCACTTGAAAATGGGGTCCGTTCATGTCATCTGCATTTAGATCCAGATCTTAGGGGCCCAGTATTTACCTGCAGGAGATCTGTTTGTAGCAAGCAGCAATTTCCCCAAATCAGATCTGAATGTGGATCTCAAGTATTACCTAGACCAAGCCTTTAACTTTGGACCATTTTGATTTCTAGCTAATTAATGGTATAACCAATTATGTTTTTTCCTTTGGTATCATGAGATAATATACCCTGTGCACAGTATATACCAGAAGACAAAGTTTTACCTCAACATATTGACCATCTAGGACAATCTAGGGCAATCTTGAAGAATTGATGTCTGCAACCTGTGTATTTGCAATCTAAGAGGCCCAACGCAAATCCATCCCAGCTGACACCCCCCCAGTCAAAGTCAGAAATGTATGTGTGCTCCTGGATGTGAGGGTTAGGAAATAAGTTTGTTTTCACTGGTGATTTGTTCTTTGGCACACTCGAGGGAATAACTGTCTGTCCTCCTTGCTCTAGGAACACAAGAGAACCAAATGGATTCTAGATACTCAAATCTGACTCTGAAATTCAGCTTGGTGTCTCTGGGAAGAAACGGAGGGCTCAGTGTTTCTGTAAGCTCTGAAAACAGGATGATAAAGGCTGAGAATTTAAGGTGAAACTTGGCTCGTCCATTGGGCTGGGAAACCAGACAGTGTGAGCAACACAGGCTGAGGGACACTATGGGAAGAACAGGCTGTTTAGGGTTTGCTCCTGGGAGGTACTGAGAAACTTGCATCCACAAAGCAAAACGTGCAGGTCCTTGCTCAGACTGAAGCACAAGAAGAATCTCCTGGCAGACTCTCCCACCTCTGCACATGTGAAGCCCGTGTCCCTCCTGCGCACAGCTTCACCCGCTTCCCGGCCACTGCCCTCATTCCAAGGGGTCCAGGCCTCGCTCCCCCATGGACAGACCTGTTGCTATCTGCCTTCGCTCCTCCGACCCGCCTTTACGCGAGGAGGAGACTCTTACACTGAAGCGCAGGCAGCTCTCCATGATGTAATCTGTGCAATCTCTGCATTTGCAAGGAAAAGCAGTCTCCGGTTGGCCAAAGCGAAAAGTCCCCGCCTGGGTGCTCCTCCCGCCACCCCCCCTCCCGGTGGCTCATAAAAGCCCCGAGGCAGAGGCAGGGCAGCTTTCCCAGCCCCTCTGCTTGCAAAGGTGACCCAGGGACAGGTGAGCTCCGGCGAGGGTGCGGAGACAGGCTCGGACGAGGGCGGAGAGGGCTGGGCTGAGCCGGGGATGCTGCGGGTGCCCGGGGCAAGGCGAGGGGCTCCCTGGCCACCTGTGGAGCCGGTCCCGCCACTGCCAGGGCACCGGACCGCTCATCCGGCGGC